TAATTTTAAATATGTTTAGAAATACTTATATTAACTGTCAAATTAAATTAGATTTTTTTAACTAATCTAATTAGATTTTAATTCGGACGCGTTTTATATAAACGTGATAACCGTTTTAGAAATTTAAGATTTTTAAAAATTTATGATTTATTGTAATAAAATTATTAAATTATGTCGCGTGTAGTTTACTTTTTTTTAGTATATATTATTTATAGAAATTATCTAAAGTTTCTAGTGTTTACCATACGACATAAAACGTGATATATTAAGTTAACGTGTTAATTTTTATTAATTAAAAAGATTAAATTAATTTTTTTTAAAAGAAAAAATTATAAAGAATTATTTTATCAAAAATTTAAGATAGAAATTGATTTTGAACAAAAAAAATAAAAAGTAATTATTTTAAATATTGTAAAATTAAAATTATAATGAATTTTTATAAAACTAAAATAAGGAAGATATTCCTTAATAATGGGAGATTCTGAAAATCCAAAAATCTGAACTCATTAATACAAAAATTTCCCCCAACTTTCTGCACTTGGAAAATAAAGTGGATGGAAGCCGAAAATCCAAAGTAGGCGCCTGAAGTTGGGATTCTGTGATCCACACGTCTCTTCTTGGAAGGAAATCAATAGAAAAACAGGCAAATAACGAGTGAATCACCCAAAGAAGATTCCTGTTTTGTCATTTGCATTTGCATTTGCATGTGTATCCGCTCTCTTTTTCTTTCTTTTTTTTTTTTAATTTAAATTTTATCTTTTTTCTTCTCGTCCCATCTTTGCCCCTCCAGTTCTCATTTCCGATTCCTATATAATACTGTTAAATTCTGGACAAGCATCGCCAGTTGTTTTCCTCGAGTACCCATTTCTCAGATTCTCTTGTTTCTCTCTCTCTCTCTCTCTCTCTCGGTCTATCTCTCTAAGTAACCTGAATTCATGGAGGAAGCCAATGGTGAGATTCTTGATTACGTGTTTGATCCTTTTTCATTTCTGGGTCCTTCGTGTTTCTGGGTATTTTTGTTTTTTTTTTTTTTAAAAAAATCTTTGAATCGAGTAGATTACTTGTGCCCATATTGTAAAATACGTGACCGGTTGTCTTTTCCTTTGGTTTTTCTCTAATTTTGTCTTGCTGTTTCAATTGGGTTCGTCTTTATTTCTGCGTTTGGTATGTTTTCGGTTGGATCTGTCTGGGACTGATGCGTATAGCTTGTGAATTGTTATAATTATGTGTTCGTTCGGTTCCAGGCTGTGTTTGTGTTCCTCCTGTGTGTATAGATCCATTTGTTCTGGACTCACGGTATTAGTACTGAAATTATGTAGACTTTCGTCTATAAATTAGGAATATTAATTTTTCTCTGATGCAGAATTGTTCTGGTAACAATTGGGAGTAGACCTTTGTTAAGCATTTACGATCAGTAATAAACATGTTTGAGCTGTCTAGTGATGCTGGGAAGTTGATCTGCTTCTGCAATCAATCATGGCGGAAGCTCTGATTGGCTAAGATTTTTGAGACCTTTTACTTCTCCATGTAAAGTTTTGTCATTTGCTTTTCCGTGCATGTCGTGAGAAGTAAAAATGTTGATTGGCTAAGAAACTTGGATGGATTGGTCTTTGTTTTTGCCATTATGCTATGTCGATACTGGTGGTGGATGTGACCGCAGCTTTATACTAAATAGTTTTATTTGCTTTAAATATGTATATATCTCAATTTCTGATCGCTTGACAATTGTTTGTCTGTCTGCTTTCTCCCTTCATGTTTCAACAGTGGTGGAAACTAAAGATGGAACCATTTCTGTAGCATCTGCATTTGCTGGTCATCAGGAAGGTAATACTTAACTTTCATGTACAAAGAAAGGATGAGGTAGAGAGAGAGAGAGAGAGAGAGAGAGCAAAAAAAGGAGAAACTGAAAAGTTGGGGATGTGAAGTGATTTTTTTGTTTCGCATGTAGTATTTTCAAGCAATGAAACTATTGTTGTCTGCTAGCTTTTCTTTAGTTTATGTCGAATTCTCTACCAGTTGTTGATTGGTAAGCTATGTCATTTTTCCCATGTTAACTTTAGTATGACTAAATGGATTGGCATGACTGTCAATTTTATATTTCAACCAACTGGATTTTGGAGAGGTTAATTTCCTTGGTAAAAGGACAGATTTTCTCTCTTATCCCCTCCTTTTTCCCGAATAGGGAAGTAACTATGAGATATTCGTTGTATATTTTTGGTTATCTTACAGTTTTCCTTGTTATTATTCAACCAGTTGTGCAGGATAGAGATCACAAATTTCTAACAAAAGCAGTTGACGAAGCATACAAAGGGGTTGAATGTGGGCATGGAGGTCCATTTGGCGCTGTTGTTGTTCGTAACGATGAAATAGTTGTGAGCTGTCACAACATGGTTTTGTCCAACACTGACCCAACTGCCCATGCAGAGGTTACAGCTATAAGAGAGGTGAGATTAAGAGAGTGCCACACTTCCTCTTTTAATTTATAGTTAGTTAGAAGATGGAGGTTCTCCTTCGTCAAACTTTCTTAACTGGATATGATTTAATGGGGAATCCTATTGAATAACTACCATAGTTTCTCAAATTAATCTTTTTAAAGACTTCTTGCGGGTTTAGCATATTTAAAAGAGAAAAGATAAGGTATAGTAGTTATTATTAAACTACCATCCTTTTAAATCACTATGCTTTCTCTCACCTAACTATCCCACTGATTGAAGAATTATTACTTATAATGCTTATAATTTCTGTTTTCAAATCCTTGGGACTTGAATTGTTTATATGACGATGAAAGAAGTCATGGTGCCCAAGAACCCTTCGTACTGAATCCATTTCCTTTTACAAGTTTTTTGTTTCCACATGTGATTCCTGTTCGCTACCTAAATAAGGCATGGGAAACGGAGTTATTCGTGGATAATAACATAGGTGATTATGGAAAGTAGTAGCTCTTGGCTACTTGATTAAAGTTTAAGACCGTTTATGAAGGTATTAGTTATACAATGCTCTGACTTTTCTTTATGAGACACTCTTGTGGATGGTTCAGTTGTTCCGTGAAAACTGCTGGTCTGCTCATGCTAAGGACATCATAAGTCTGTCAGCTCAGTTAACAGAGAATTAAATTCGGTTTTCTGAACTGATCTGTTTTTCGCCTTTTCTGTCTTTGCTCTACAATATACCAGGAAGGCTTTTTGGTCTTTGGCATACAAATTTCAAAGAAAAACTTAAAATGGTGTTCCAAGTTTTTTGAAGAATCCTTCAAATAGGCATACAGTAGTTTTCTTTTTGTTTTTCTTTGATTAATTTATTTACTCTTTCAGCTTTCCGGTGCTTTAAAATTTTTTGGTGCACTCAGAAACATGTTTGTTTCTGCTTTTCATGTACTTTTTGGTCTCACTTGCTCCCTCAAAAGTTGTGTTTTCTCTAGTGCATCCGCTGTGCGGCTCTGCAAGTAATCTTCAAGAGGTTTCTAGTCATCACAAGTCAGGAACAGTTTCATAACACTTCTGATGTGGGGTAATAAGCCTCTATGTTATCTTTTTGGAAAATAGAGAACTTCATATTTATATTGCAACAGTGGACATTTTTCACTTGGTGGCATAGTATCATAGTGATTATATTATTCTCATTGCCATAGAATAGTCTAGTGCATCTGAGTGTTTCCAAGGAGTGCCTAGTCTATAATTGCTACGGTTATTAGTTTTTAGCGGCAAGAGTTCATAATGAAATAATCCACTAATATTGTACAAAGTTTCTTTAAGTATTCATTTGGAATGTTGAATTGTGCAAGTTTCTCCAAGTTTATTTTGTCGTGGACGCAATAGAGTATTTATTGCATTTTCTTTGACATCATTTTATCATATCAATAAAATTGAGCTCAATCTTTTTCTTTTTCTTTTTTTTTTTTGGGAATTTATGGCTTCTTCAGGCTTGCAAGAAACTCAATCAAATTGAGCTCTCCGACTGTGAAATATATGCCTCCTGCGAGCCTTGTCCCATGTGTTTCGGTGCCATCCATCTTTCGAGATTAAAGGTAAAAGTTGGAAAAAGCTTTGTTCGGAACTGTTACAAGCAAATTCGTAAATTTTGTGAAATTCATTTATTAATCTAAAATTAGATTTAATTAGAAGATGTTAAAAACCGTCACTACCATGACAAAATCTGATATTATGTGAAAATCCTATATCAGGTAAATTTTTATCATACTCTAATAGAATTTACATAATTTTCTATTTAAATTAAGAACGTATTTGCAAATGAATTCTAGAAATTTTCTGAATTTGTTCTAAATGTAGCCTGAGTATCTAAGATTGCAAGGAAAAGTCCTCTCTCCTGATAGTTTTTTTTGCCCTTTTTTGCTTCGTCGTCGTGGACAGAGGTTGGTTTATGGAGCAAAAGCCGAAGCAGCAATAGCAATTGGGTTCGATGATTTCATTGCGGATGCCTTGAGAGGAACCGGTTTTTATCAGAAGGCGAACTTGGAGATAAAAAAGGCTGACGGTACTGGTGCTGTAATTGCTGAACAAGTGTTTGAAAAAACAAAGGAGAAGTTCCAATTGTATTGATTTTCTTCTTCTCTTATCCCTGTTGATGAAGAAAAACTCACATTATCAGGGTGTGAAAATTGAAGTTTGGAACTGATAGAGTCAAAAATCAAATAAGTTTCTGTCGATTAGATGCTAAGTTCGTAATGTTACTGGAAACTGATGTGAATCAAAAGCTTTTTATTTTCAAGTTCCAATTGCTTTGCTGCTGGCATGGCTTGTCTTTTGTCCAGCACTCTTGAGCACTTCACAAACAGGTTACACACACATACACACACATATATATTTTAGATGGTTTTAAAAGAACGGTGCAACACGAGAATTTCTCAGATCACTTATTCTAATACTACTCTCATCGAAACACACTTTAACTATAAAATTATGATGAGATTCAGTGCATTACTACTAGTATCACTTATTCTAATACTACTCTCATCGAAACACACTTTAACTATAAAATTATGATGAGATTCAGTGCATTACTACTAGTATGATCGCATTCTATATATATATATATATATATATATATATATATATATATATATAATAAAAGAAGTTTTTATGTTTCTCTTTCCTTGATGAAGTTTGGATTCTTTAGTTGCACAAGATTATGTTTATCATAAAAATTGTTTTAAATTGGCTTTTCAAATGAATCCTACTGGTTTTGTACCAGCTCTCTTACAAATAGCAAGCCATATCTTATTTTTCTTTGCAGCTTCTTAAAAATAAATATAATTTAAGAAATCTATTACAAATTTTTCTTCAACCAATAAATATTATATATCTACCTCTAGTATCATAATTTTCCTCTAATATTATGATAAAAATTTAGTGTAAATTTCTCTAACCAATATATTATATAGCAAACTCCAGAAGATGAAGTCTCTTGCTGAGCTTGTTATATGTTATGTTTAGGTTTCAATTCCATTAGGACCCTTGTGAATGAATCTCCTGGCTTTATTGTGTAAGACTTGTCTTTGATCCAATTGGGGTGAAATGAAAATATTCTAACTGTTTAATAATAAAATATATATATGTATATATTATATGGCTGTAAAGATTATATATATGGTTTTTCAACAGCTAACATGTGTAATTATAAATCAAGCGCACATAATTTATTTAAATAGATACAATGGAATGGAAAGTTAGAAACCACTAAAGAAATATGAGTAATTAATATTTAGGGAATGAAGAAATTACAGAATCATGGAAGATTGTTTGCTCATCCATTAGAATTTTATAATCATGCACAAAGATATCTACTTAAATATATAGAATTATCTTCAAGGTTATTAATCGAGATATATATATATATATATATATATATATATAGAATTTTATAATCATGCACAAAAAAAGTTCATTTTTGATCAGCAAAACTGTGTTACATTTGGTTGCCCCACCTTTGGGAGATTTCTTGCAGCATAAGAAACAAGGTACCAAGGATCTAAACAGAATACATGTATGTATATGTATGTATATATATATACTGCTTGGTTAAAAAAGAAAAATCAAGTGTAAAACTATGTTTTTATCACTGCTACTGACCATCATAAGCATAAACTGGCACCTGCAGTATCTCGTGTTGGCAAAATTCTGTCCTTCCTTCTTTCTACGAAGAATCGTGATGGCGTTAATACCAGGTCAGTGAAAACTATTGCTTTTTCTTCTGCTTCTTCGTCTTTGACTTATATTTCTGTGTTGGACTGAAATGAAAGTAATTTGAATGAACCCCAGCTACGGGAGAGAGAAGTGGAGATTATATCACTTTCATTTGGATTTGCCTATGAAGATATACAAGGAACTCAACGTATGAAGGGCCGGCTGCATGCTTATCTTCAACCAAATATGAGAAGAACAAGGACCCTGCAAAAGGAAAAAAGAAATATTAGAGAGTTAAACACGTTATCAGTTTCTTACATGAACGGATTTTGCTATTACGAACTTTCATTTTAGATTTTACATGATGATATCAGTTGATACTAATTAATGGCTTTAACTCGTTGGTCTATAACAAATGGGGGCCATGGTGTCTTGCTCTGGATTTGCTCAAGTTAAAATATCATCAAAAAGAACACCTAAAATTGTCAAAATACCGCGAGAGGACTATCCATAATTTGTTTCTAAGAAAAAAAAAAATCTATTTATCCAGATCAAGTTGTGAAGGGACTAGCTCTGCCAAGGGAGTAGGGAGCACTGGTTCAGATAGGCTCTAGCCAAAGATAAGGTTTCTACAGAACAGTCGAAGGTAACTCCTTGATATTCGATGTATATGGATTATAAAGTGATTTTAAGATAAAGGATAAGTCAAATATTTTTTACTCAATTAATTTATCTTCATTGTCTAGCAATGTAGTCAAGAAATGTCATGCAGAAGGGAATTTTCAATGGATTCTCTAAAAGAAACTCCTGCTGTGCCAGATCCCCTCCTTCCTTAAACTCCTCGTAATCACTTCAAGGGAAAAGGTAAATATCGTTTTATGTGTAAATAATTATCACATCTAGACAGAAAATGGGATATCAACCTTCAAATGCATCCAAACAAAAACTGGAATACGTGGAAAATGAGAAAAGATATGGACTGAATAGATAGAAAAGATTAACCTACATAAATTCAATAAAAATGGAGAAGCGAGAAGAAAAAAAAAGATTTAGCAACTTGAAGAGATGCTTGGTATTTCTTGTTTGTTAGGCCATGTAGCAGTTTCCTTCAAATGGTTAAAAATTTTCATGTTAGTTACAATTCACCAACCTGATGGATCTTCTTTCCTGCATAGCTTTAAGCTGCAAAAGAACAGAAAATTGATTACTATCATCTAGAATCCAAGGATTTCAATGCACTCACTGATTCTGTTCGATAAGCAATAAGGCCAACTTCAAACATTATAAACACATACTGAAGGTATGAACACCTTTCACGTCGTATCTTCGATAGTTGGTTGTCATACTGCTGCAGCATAAACTGAAAACAAAAAATTATTAGGTATGAAATGGTAACTTAGGTAACTGAATAGGTACCCCAGCAAATACATGTTCCCAATACACATAACTTATGGAGTCCTTACACTCCAGAATCTCAACAGCAATACCAAATCAAGGCCCATGGATCACGAAGGAATCGAATAAAAAAATATGATGCTGAATATGGTTTAGTTCTCAACTCCCACCTCCAATATCCATATTACTCTCAGCATATAGAATAAGAACATGCTAGCTTGATCTCATCCCTCGCACCCATCTTTAGTCCCTCTGGGTGAGAATTCAATTCCTACTTCAGTTAATAAGGAAATTTCCACTACAAAAGAGTTTAAGGTGGGAATAAAGATGACCTTAAATATACAAAGCATATTAATTCTGTAAGTTATGACTAATATGAGAACTAAGTTTAAGCGGGAATGAAACTGTATTCAACCAGATGCAACCACCAGGTATCAACTCTTAGAATCAAATTTCTTTCGGATATGAATGAAAAAATATCCATTTCAATACATAGATGTCCCACATTTCTAGAAATTATAAACAATATGATTTACAAAATTAAAAAGAAAATCTCTCTCAACAAGGAAAAAAGGGGTCGTCATGGAGTTTTTTCTTTCAATTACTCAGTCTTCAAGTCATGCAAAATAATGTACACTAACTATTTTGAACCAGAAAGCACATAAAATTATGTTGCAGAGAACTGTGGTTGCTCAATGCGTTGGTCTGAGATCCCCAGTCAAACACCATATAGTTGAAAAGATTTAAAAGAATACCTGATTGGGAATTTCATCAGCTGATGAAATTCCCAACAGTTGGTGCATGATATCAGAACTCACTGAGCTCCCTATATATATTAAACAATCGTCACCATTTTCCAGAAGATAAACTCCCTCATCGCAAATGGTTTCACTAGAAAGAGCAATTGAACGAGGACACGTGCTCCATCCTCCTGTCAAATTAACAAAAAGCTACAGGTAACACAAGAAACACATTAAGATAATAACCAAAAGATAACTAATGTGCAGAACTCACACCTTCCTGTCAAGATCATTGATGGGCAGCATCCGTGGGTGCACAAGGGAAACTGCTAATGGAGTAGAAATGTAGGAAACATAACTGACCCAAAAAGATCGATCATCTGTTCTTTGCTCAGTCCGCAATCCTATACTTTTAGTTAACGCTGAGAAGAAATCCAAAGAATCAAAGGAAAAAAAAAATCAGTAGGCATCAACTATTTAATTTTTCATTTTCAAATTTTACAACCAGTCACTTCAAAAAATATTTCAAATAAAACAGGAAACTGCTCATGAAAAATCCCCAACCTTCACTTTTTAATAGTATAGGAACTTAATAATGACTTTCTCATAATAAAAATTAAAATAAAGAGATCAGTGTAAAGTTTCTAAGTAAAACTTCATCAATCATATCTAACCACATGGCAAATTTGGCACATTCGATTCTGGCACTCCCAAGACTAGTTAACAAAGGTAATTATTAAAACTTTAATATTTGTACAAGCAAATCTCCAGCAGGCCACATTGCCTAATAAATATTGGCAGTGTGACATACTTCACTTGTTTGGATCACAGTCACAAACTAAAAAGTGAAAAGAGCATACCAAGGGTGTATAGAGGTAAAAGCCTAAGTGCCTCTGGAAGAATAAGTTGTCCTGTCGATGATACTGCTGCACAGAATTTACGATATGATAGGAGGGTGTTGATGCAAAGGTTTCTCACTCTTTCCTGGACTTGCAAAAGTGGGGTTGAAGGAATTTCAATCGCCCGCTCTCACATAGGACAAAATTAGAAATGCTGTTAGTATCTCAACCAAAAACTGAAGTTAGAGACAAGCAGATTCAACAATTTTAGCAAGCTGAATATTGAAACAGTTATATTGTAGTTAGTTCACAACTGAAAGCACTGAAACCTAGAAAAAAAGAGCATCATAAATTTCAGAGTTAAAAAACATCTTGATGTGTTAATGCACCAATTAGGGGCAATGATGACAAGAATGGAGAGTGTTGAATAAAATCCCTTGCTTCATCATACAGGCAAATTGAGAATCCAGGTCTGCTGCTCTATATAGATTACTTATATTGCTGGTACATGGCAAAGATAAAGTTGTAATTCGGATACGTCTTTCACCATAGATATTGGTATAAAGAAGAGCACACTGAGATATGGAGATACCAAATTAGTTAAAAACAGAGAAAAAAAGGGAGGATGATAGAAC